AGACATTGGAACATTTCGTACGGACTGTGTACGCTCTGTCTCTTATACACATCTAGATGTGTATAAGAGACAGGTCGTGACCCAAAAAATATGGTAGTGTATCTGCACATGTTCTTGCGGAAGATTGGTTCTCATTTGCCGATTTGGTGAGCAGTCGAGAACTCTACATTTATTCTTCTTTAATCAGTTATGTCTTGTCATTATTTCATTACTTACTTTATATGTCTACTTTAATATTTTTGAAACGGTATTCACCAGTTCGCAGTAGCTGATGCAGATCCCAGGGTTCGATCCCTAGTCTTCACCTTACCTGTGTACAGTATCTGTGTCGACCCCTGGAGTTGAACCCACGACCTGTGTATTTGTAACAGTTGGTAGGTTGTCGTAGGGTCGATAGGTAGCCGGGGTTCGATCTGTAGACCTGTCGAGTAGGAGTCTTAGTCAGGTCTAGAAGTCGTAGCTGTAGTTTTCCCGAAAGGTCAAAGTCGTAGCTGCTACAGTCACGAAAGGCCAAGTCTACGGCCTTCCGGAAGGTCCAGTAGTGGCCTTTCGAAGTTGCCCACGTTTAGACTGAGGCAAGTGGGCAAGTGGTGAGGCAAGTAGCGGAGTCTGCCCGTGCTGAGTCAGCAGTCCCAGTCCTAGGCAGTCCGGTCCAGTCCAGCAAGTACCGCATGGGACTGTGTGCACTTCGGGCATGGGAAAGGGGCCAGACCAAAGAGCTGCAGAAGTATAAATCAAGAGGCAGCGCCCAGCCATTCATTCATTCCTGCGTGAGCCATGCGGAAGCGCTGCCACAGCGACTTGTGCAAGGAGGTCTGCAGTGAGCCCGAAGCTGAAGTGGGCGAGAGAGAAGGAGCGTAGCATAGCGATAGGGTAGTTACGGCCATAGCCGCCATAGCTAGAGTTAGTGTGTAGCATGTGTGTGCGTGAGTGAGTACGCGTGTGGGATATCCAGGGTGATCCGGGGTATGCAAACAGAGAGTTGTTTGGGCGCTAAGTCGCCATAGCCATCGAAAGTGAACTTGTATCTGGACTGTGTCTTCGGCGACCATATCTCGGGCGCTTGTCGCCAGTTTGCTGTGCGCCTGTTTGCATGCATGTGAGTGTGAAAGAAAGCGAGTCTGATTACATTTTCATCTTTTTATTTTAATATTTTTTATTATTCACTGATATATTTATCTATTATAGATGGGGGAACAACCGATATGACACATCTTCTTCTTCTTTGTTTTAGTGTATTCTTATTTCATTCAATGTTTTATAATTTTTTTACACTGAACAAAGGATAAAAATAAAAAAACAAAGACACATTGAAATCATTCAATTTCTCAGTCTTCTTAACTCCTCCACTGCGCCTCTCACGTACAAGGCTTGCCACGTTGATGAAGTTGAGTGCGAACTGCCCCCATCCCTATATTGCGAGGATACGGGTCCTCGGCAGGCCTAAGGGGCCCCTTGCAGCACATGTGCCCGCCCTAAGTGAAGGCGGGCCTAACAAATCACGACGGGCCCTTGGTTGTCAATTTCGCATTTGGGGGTCCAGGCAGTTTCGTCGCGGCAGTTGGTTGAAGGAAACACAGGCAGAGCAGAGTGGAAAATTCCCAGGCCCTCTAGGCCTTTCCAAAAGCTCAGGCCCTGTGCCAGATTCGCAGCCTCATACACAGACAGTTGGGAGGCCCAACCAAATGAGGCCCAGTAGCTGCACCAGAGGCGCAGCATCCTGGGGCCTACCGGAAGCTTCTGGGCCCAGGCCAGTCCAGCCAGGCTGCCGAACGAGGCAGGCTCTTTCCATATAGGAAAGAGCTCGCTGCCTGGTCAGGGCATTCGGGTACTTGCTGGCTGGCGGCAGTGCTGCTGGAGCAATAGCTCGCGTGCTGGCTGCTGGAATTTGAGCAAGAGGCTGCGCACGTGCGGTCGTGTGGTGAAGCAGGGCGCTGCTGAGGGCAGCGCCATAGCCCAGCCTCCATAGCTGGCAGGGCTTGGATGTACAG